AGTAGTATCTCAAATTATGTAGGACGATAAAAGGAAGTCGTCGCGCACTGGGGATCAGCGCAGCCTATTGACAATTCTTAGCCGTGATTGCAGACTTGAGGACAAGGTCCGACGTGGAGGCTCCGGTTGCTATGTATGGCATCCGTAGTAATTAATAGCATTCGTGATCCTGTTTCCAATACCCATCCACGAGTTCCATGACCCACGACGGGACTGCTGGTACGCCCCACGGACTAATACACATCATACTTTACAGAAGATATGCCAAATCCTGGTACAAAGATGCTACCTACGGTACTTGAACAACACGGCGAAGATTATTATTGTGTAAAATCCAAGACTTTTCCGAACTTCGCACTCAGATACGGGAATATTAAAGTATGAAAAGGTGGGAAGTAGGTAAGTTTGAAAACTTATTTTGTTTGTTCACGAGTGTTTCAAAAAACATGAAACAATGGTACTGTTTGTATGAAAAGGAAATGTGCACCTCGTGTTGGCATTTTCCCTCGAGGCATTTTTCGTAACGAGACTAAAAGTATATATTTTAGTAGGATAGAAAGAGGAAAAGAGAGAAAGAGGGACGAATTAGTCGTCGTTTAGCTGTTCCCAACTTCCCAGCATAATTCAATTCCTATTATTAGTATAAAATTTTTTTTTTTTTTTTTTTAATACAATTTAATTTTTTTTACAAAAAACAAAAAAAACCAAGAAGAAAGGAAAACTATTGTACAGGTTCAAAACAAAACAACATAAAAAAAGCACCCCACCCCGAGGCATCAACAACAAAAATATATAAAAACTTCAGCGTTCCCAACCCCACATAATCAACCATTATTGTGAGTATGTAAAGTATCTAGTTGGTGGCTATTTAGAAGTACTACTACGGAGTAAATACCCGAGATATCTTACTAATAATAAGTAAGGCAGAACGCCACTCTACTATGTGTGCAGAGAATTCAGACGCTAGGCCCAATCAGGAAACACGCTAATAGGCCGAGGGGCTACCTAGGTACTTTAGGTATCTACCTAAGCGACAACTCTTCAATAGAATGTATTTCAACATCGCTGCACAATAATAATAGACAATCGCGTTTCACAATCGCATTTCACAATCGCATTTTGTCATATTCACGGCCAAGGTCTGACCGAAATTGCCGAGGTGTTCCCGTGTCGTCGTCATGTCTGCATCTGATAGACTAGTTTCTGATGGGTTCAGGGGGTTATAGCATCTAGAAACTCATTTCCCGAGCTCCACATCAAAGGTTACAGGCATGTAGCCAACTTTGCACGGCTCGTGTCTGTATACCATCTGGTTGTATATCTCCTTTCCCCGAAGTTTCCCTAAAAAGCTTATGAGGTAAGTTACCTATGGACGCCTCGTGAGGCTCAAAATCAAACCGGGGCTCGAGCATTTCCCTATTAGAAGCGGTCATCTGGTTGTATATCTCATTTCCCCGAAGTTTCTTTAAAAAGCTTATGAGGTAAGTTACCTATGGACGCCTCGTGAGGCTCAAAATCAAACCGGGGCTCGAGCATTTCCCTATTAGAAGCGGTCATCAAGAGTCTTCCTTGGTTTTATGTAAATCCGGATCTTTGCTACCTCATCGATGACTGTGACATCAATCTTGCAGCATATTATTTGCCCGAGTCAGCCCTACGGCCTCGAGAGTGTAAAAGTGAGCTGCAACATTTGGCGTACCTTCTGCTATAGATCTTTGACTCACCTGGGCAAAGATGGCGACAGCAACCCGCTTTCACGTGGGTCACGCACTGTTGATAGCGCTGTGCTGTGCTTGCAAATTGTCACTGCAGCAGACGCCCACGAGTACAAGCATGCCTAATGTGCCTCGTGGCGACCTCCCCACAGTCACGATTGCAACGCCGAGTGCTTGGATCAATATCTCGGTGCGTAGTCCATCTGGTCTGATCCGGTCTAATCCGGTGGTTGACACTCACCAGGCAAGCATACCCACCAACCTCGGTACTGATAAGGTCGTCGTAACGTCAGCTTCCGTGGGCGGGCCTCCACAAATATACCTCGGCGCCAGCATAGCGGCCAGTGCCCACGCGGCCGTGCAAAGCAATTGCTCTCAAGCCAATTCGTCCGAGTGCCAATCAAGTGTAGAAAAGGCCGTCAGAACTGATAATGCCCTTGCGGCAAGAGTCGCGCCTTTGGCCATTGCTGTCCTTGCTCTGGCAGCGCTGATCTCGGTAGTTCTGTCGTACAACAGACTAGAAGACGTAAATGCGCAACCGCAGCTTATCGATATCCAGCCAGAAGGTTACTCGCAGATGATCGCGGCTCAACCATCTAGCTTTGTGGTATTTGTCACTGCAAGTGATGACCCAAGTCCGGTCACATTCTCCTTGACCACGTCGTTAGATGGGGTTACGAGTGCTACACCCTCAACGTCAAACTTGATTACGAGTGCTACAGCTACAGGGTAACAGTCCTTCTTACCGGTACGGAGATACTCTTTGCGGGCTTTATGCTGACTGTGCACTAGTTCAGTGGTAATTTCCACTGCTACGACGGACGGCCCAGGATATTTTTCGGGCGATTCCTTCATAGTGGTACCCACCGGTGACGTCGCACCAATGAAGGCGATCTCGACAGCGACACAAAGCGGTGCTGCTTGCTTGGCCGTTCATAAACCGGTTGAGCATCGCAGATCGGTCGATTCGTTGATTAGCTGGGACAGCGCGGTTGGTGATGCCGTGAAGATGCTTCCAGAGGTGGCTCCTGGTGGGGAGCTCCAGTTGCTACGTACTGCTCAAAGCCTCCAACTGGGGCCGTTTGTTCCAGCGCTGCTACAAGCAGCACAGCAGGTAGTGGCTGCCGGGCGACTAATAACCAGCTTGCTTCTGAGTGGCACGGGCTTGATCGCTGTCGCAACGATTGTACTCATCATTGCAGCTGTGGTTCAGAACTGCTTGGTAGCGGATGGAAACGCCTTCTTGATACCACAAGAGGCCTTTTCGACTACCCAAACATCTTCCCAGTTGGCCTCATCCGGAGCTAGCTGTCCTCCTGCAACATTACAACCACACTGCGTGAAGTAAGTCTTACTTGTTGCGAAAACCCAGTGGTGTCCTGACAGTGGTGTAGTTGTGGTGGCAATGCTGGTTCCTCCAGTTGCTCGGGCATACAGTCAAGGTCTTATCTCTGGCAAGATTGTCCCTGCCGTGTTGTTTCGGTGTTTAAATACCCCCCCGACTATCAGAATGTACTTCCGGCACCAGCGTAAGTGCAGCATGTCCTTCAGAACCAACACCGAAGATATTGGTGTCTGGGTCGCTTTTGTCTCCACGTCTCTAACAAGCCGCTTAGTGTACCATCGGCGACAGGGCAGGCTGGTTCCGTTCAACTCGTCTGCGAAACTACCACTGGCAGCCCTACGACTGAAGATGTCACCCAAGTCATCGAAAATCTCAAAGACCTGGGTTACAGCAAAGAGTGCGTCCAACACAATCCAGTTGGCAGTGAGTGCACTACCATGATCTCCTACGGCTCGGCGAGCCTCTCCATCTGTGGACCTTTTGCAATAACGACGTGGTGTTTGCAGGCTGCAGTATGGGCTGAGGACATCCAAGATGAATGTCTCAGTGGTGGGAGGGTCGGCGGGCGACGCACTACAATTGGCGCTGGCACGATTGAGGTGATCCATTCCTCCTAAGATGGATCTGGAAGTGTGCGGGGAGGTCGAGTTGTCTAGTTCAAGTTGGAAGTCATGATGTTAATCGTATAATAAACGCTGGATCATGCTTCCATGCATTGCATTGAAACGTTAATGGAGTTATCGAGGGATGTTTCGTCGTACAGCGGACGTCTGGTTTCAACGTGAACGACCGTAGGTAGATGATTGCAATGATGTACAAAATGCAAGTTCGACAGATTCTTTGAAGATACTGTGGTTGACTCCAACTTTTCCATACCGTCAACTCGACGAATACTTCATGGACTTTGTAGATGATCTAAGCTGTCGATGGGGTGGTTGAGAGAAAGCGTTGAGGCATGCCGGAATTGGGTCCATATGGACTGTTCCATATGTGTAGGGAATAGATGTTGACAGAAATTTTCTCACTCTTTTCCATTACCTCTTTTGGTCATTGGTCCACTTACTAGATCAGATATCCTATTGGAAGTGCCGAACAAGCTAGAATTGAGATTCCCCTGAAGGTCCAAGCTCTCGTGTATGTACTCATGATTGTCATTCATCGCCAAGACATGATAGCCACAAAGACAGTAAAAGGCTGGGAACACCTGGGCAGTTCACCGCGATCAAAAACAGCGTCTAGAGCGTATATTTATCTTCAATCCTTATAGCTCAGGCGGAATTATTCTGATATTAGTGTCTCTGACTTTAGTCTCTTTTATAGTAAAATCACCTGTGTCAACTCGATTACCTCACTTATAATTGTCCTGAGCACTGATATAACTTTATACCTTTCTTTTTCCGATATATTATAATCTATGGCCTGGCTCTAGTCAAGCTAGTAATATGCTTGTCGAGATCGTACACGCTGTATTACTTCCGCAAGAAAGCGGTTCTGAAAATAGCGATAGGGCCGCTAGGGCGTAAAATCCCCACCTACCAAGGCGCTCATGCAAGAAGAATCTGTCGAATGGTAAAGGAATGTCCAGAAGGAGTAATATTTGGTGTGCTGACCAACATGAGATACTCATCCCGTAAGTATATATCAGCACCAATCAGTTTTACATGGCTGAGTGATCGAGCAGGCTACATCTAAATTGCAAGCTCTTTACTCCGTAAGAGCAGATTAAATAAGATCTTCTGATTCCTTTGGTCTCCTCAATGGGGAAGTTTTGACGGAGAGTTCAGATACGTATCGAGACGGGTCCAAAGGAAGAGGGTCTATGATTGTTAGATCGTCCTCTCGGATTCCTGCCCTCCACGTGAATAAAAGTGATACAGATTTACAAAACTGTTGTCAAATATGGCGATGCCAACGTAGATGCAGGGACTTGCAAACAGATG